CCAGGAATCTCTTCATTCCAGTCTACTTTTAATTGCCAGAGCCGTTGGAGGAATAATTTGCATCTTATAATACATGGGCATATTAGACCCAGTAGGTCGAAAATAGTGGCAATTTTTTCAGTTTTTTGTATCCCAATATATACCTAACGTTTTTCCTTTCATATCTGATGATATCACGTACTGAGACTGGCTTTCATTTTCTGACTCTTTATTTAAACTTGTATTATTAACTTCTTTGGTGCCCGTTGGCGTAGAGATACAGGCTCTCGTCTACCAATCTGAAGGTAGTGGGTTCGAATCCCACACCCGGCATTTCATCAGCCGACTATTTTCATTAAAATAAAAATAGTTTGGATACCTAGGTCGACTCAGCCTTATATGAGTACTTGGGATTCACAATTCTGAGGTAATAATAGGCGGTTGAAGCGTAGTGCTAGCCACATTACCTTCCTTGTATACTGAACGGCTCTAGTATGGCAAGCTGTACCTTGCTACTTCCAAGGCGTTAAACGCTATATACGGGAGCTATTATTTCAATTATGTAATTCTTTTTCTCGGAACAGGTCCGGTGCGGTTTAGCTGACTAACTGAAAAAGCTTTTGGCTCCTCCCAGCTAGTTCAAGAATTTTCGGACGATGTGACAAGTCTGCAACAATACAGCTCGTTGTCCTACTTTTGCAATTGAGCATGGTAAATTAATCTCTTTTAGATTTTTTTGGAATTCTGTGCTAATAATTCCCTCCACCGAAATTACGAACGGTAAGATCTTTAGGGTATTAAGATTCCACACGTTTTTTAAATCATATGATAAATTTTCGTATTTTGTTATTTTATCTTTTGTTTCCGTCTGTTTTATCCTGCGGGATAATGGTACTGCTATGTCAATTATAATGCCCGTTTTATTGATCTTATCGATAAAAATGTTGGGTCTATTGTGGTCCACTGTCCGATCGGTTATAATTGGTCTGTCCCAATATAAAACAGCATCCCTAGATTCCAGGACGGGTTGCGGGGAGTACTTGTAGTAGGGAGGTGATGTTTTGCTCAAGAGTTCTGATTTTATGGCAAGTTGTTGATGAATAATTTTGGCAAGTTGATTATGACGTCCAAGATACGCATTATCTGCTAAGGTAGAGCAACCAGACGTGATTTGTTCTATTGTCCCCCTCTCATAGAGCATTTTCTACATATATCAAGTACGTCTTGTTTTAAAATGTTCTTTTCATAGTTTCTGGTCCTCATAACTCCGTCCTGGATGGCCATCATAAAACCCTCGGTCTCAGGAAACAATTTTCCGTCTCTAAGCCAGACCAATGACGAATGAAGGTCGACCCCCCCCCCCAGACTGAAGCGACTTTGGATACCTGCCATGCAGAGCGCCGTTTTTCCATCCTGCAACACGCTCCTCTATCGAGATGGGTTTGTCAATCCGGTTACGGCAACTTAAATTGAGAGGAGTGTAACCTTTATCCTGAGCCACGATGAGCCTCTTTATTGCACAGTTGGAGGACATAAATCGCTGCCTCATGCTATTTTCCTGTTTTAGGCATAGATCTTTTATGATTAGCAGGCCTCTCCCGCCCATCCTACGAGAAACATACAGCCTATATACAGATGAGTTTGTATGTAGATTTCTAAATTTTGTTAATTGTCTAGGGGTAAGGCGATCGAGATCTTCAAGGTCGGTATTTGACCACTTGACCACTCCAAAGGAATAAGTTAACACCGATATTGCCTAAGCGTTTATAGATTTGATCAGGTTATGTCCAGATAATTATGTATTTAAGAGCTTCATTAGCCTGGTGTTATATTTCTCACGAATCTCCCTTTTAATTGTTGTGTGATCAATTGTTGAATTTTGGGCTAGCCCTAGGTATCGGAAAGTATCTTTTGGCGGAAGCTGCTTAATATTACATATGATTTGTTGCCGATCTTCAATTTTACCCCTTTTGATGTTGACAGTAGCACATTTGTCAAAGCCAAAGGACATACGTATGTCCCTGCTGAAGACTTGAACAGTTTCTACTAAATAGATGAGTTTACTCGGTGTTTCCCCATACAGCTTCAGGTCGTCCATGTACAGGGTGTCCCATTTTGGTTAAAATCATACGGTATCTCCGTTATTAGTGAAGATAGAAGGGTGCGGTTTGCACAAACCTGTCTCACTTTTTTGTCAAACGGAAGATGCCGTAAACAAAATTTTCATAGCCCTCTGCGTTTCCGAGCTACCGGGTCTTTTTGAAAGTTTTGCAATTTGGGTCACCTCCTGTATCTCTATTATTGTTAAAGCTATCGAGAAGGTGAAAACTGTTTATTGTAGAACTTTTTACGTAGAATACAGTGGCGTAGTCTGTTTTTCTACAAAAAAAATATTTTTGAAAATATGAACTAAAGTTATGTTTTTTTAAATGGATCACCCTGTATATTTATAAATCATATGATCTGTCTTGGCATAAGCTTCTCAAAAATACATATCACTCTATATTTATTTTCACTATTTACTGCAATATTTAAAAGTTTTTATTAAAAGATCATATTTATTAGTAGGCCATGATTGATAATAAAAGAATCTAAAGAATTATTAAAAGTATACTGCTATCTGTCTTTTGTTTTATTTTGGGAGCCGCTAATAAATTCTTTATATATTAGGGAAACTTAAGTCTCTACCGCTATTTGTAAATCTTGGAATACGTGTATACGTAAGACTAATCTATCGTATCGGAAATTTTAGATATTCCTTTAGCTAATTTACGTCAAATATACTTTCAGCAAGATGGGGAACATTCCCCCACATAACTATGGAAATATTAGAATACTGTTAAATTATTATTTTTCAAATCAATGAATTGGAACCAATGAACACATATTGATAGCCTCCTCGATTCCCGGATTTCGTCGTTCTCGATTTCTGATTTTGAGGATTTTCGAAATACGAAATATATCGTGGGCACTACAACAATTTCGAACACCTGAAAAATGCTTTAATAATTCAAGATTTAGATATTTGCAAACCCATCCCGTTATAAAAAAAGAAAAATATATTCACAGTTTCAGTGGTAACAGTTATTTCGAAAGTAAAATATATCAATCCCAGATAAATTTTAATATGTGTATGACTATTTTAGTAAATACCATTTTGATTTTTTGTTATTTATCACGGCCTACTAATAAGAAAATGATATATTTTAAATATTGCAGTAAATAGTAAAAATAAATATAGAGTGATATATATTTTTGAGAAGCTCATAGCAAAACAGATCATATGATTTATAAATATATAGGGTGTTCCGTTTGAAAAAACATAACTTTAGTTCATATTTTCAAAAATATTTTTTTGGTAGAAAAACAGACTACGCCACTGTATTCTACGTAAAAAGTTCTACAATAAGCAGTTTTCGCCTTCTCGAAACCTTTAAACAATAACAGAGATACAGGGGTGTCCCAAATTGCAAAATTTTCGAAAAGACCCTGTAGCTCAGAAATGAAGAGGGCTATGAAAATTTTGTTTGCAGCATCTTCCGTTTGACGAAAAAGTGGCACAGGTTTGTGCAAACCGCACCCTTCTATCTTCACTAATAACGGAGATACCCTATGATTTCAACCAAAATGGGATATACTGTACAATAGATGGTTCAGTCTCTTTCCGTTTCCTTGGTCGATCTTGTAACCGGCGGTTGTGTTAAGCAGTGTTGACATTCGGTTCATTGCCAGACAAAACCAGAGTGGTGAAAGTGAATCCCCCGGAGCTATTATTATTATTAGTATTATTATTAAGAACTTCTTGTTTATTTGATCGCCATTTCCTCAGCATTAACCCTGAATTCGACAAAACTCTTTCCAGCCCTGATTTATTACTATTTTTTTTTCTTTTCTATAAAACGATATTTATATTTCTTTAAAACGTAAATTCAAACGTATTTTCATAATTTCATTAATTTTTCGGTATGGGATTTTGGAAAAGTATAACCGGAATTAACCATTTTAGAGCTACAAAAATATTTAGAAAGAAATCTTAAAATGTTAACAATAAAAAAATATATTTCTGTAAAGAAGATCCGAGGACATACGGTATAATTTTTGATATGCCTGGCTTTTCACCATCTCAATTTTGTCACAGAATTAAAAAAAAAAACCTTTTGTATACAATAGGGCAATCCTTAGTACGGATCTATCCAAATTTCTTTGTTTCCAGGGGCTCAAATTCTTCCAAATTCATAAAAAAAAGAATTGCCTGAAAATTTTAGCTCTTAATATTAACTTTAAGATAATCCGTGTTCCAACTTAAGTTTCTTATAGAAATAACATGAGAAAAATGTCACTTGTTCTTTACAGTTCTATAGCTGTGCGACAAATGAGTCAAAAGTAGTTAATGGCGGCATGTTTATTGTAAATTCAACGCTCTACAGAAAAGGTCTCTAATGATTTTTCGCTAAATCATTATTATCATTCAAGAGTTATTCGAGCTCAAAGTTTAATTATTGAGCTTGAATAACTCTTCAGCCAATAGGTTTAGCGAAAAATTATAAGAGACGTTTTTTGTAGAGCGTTGAATTTGCAATAAACGTGATGCCAATTAATTACTTTTGACTCATTTGTCGCAGAGTTATGGAATTCTAATTAAGAACAAATTACATTTTTCCTTTGTTATTTCTATGAGAAACTTAGGTTGGAACGCGGCTTATCTTAAAGTTAATATTAAGAGCTAAATTTTCCAAGCAATTTTTATGAATTTGGGAGCAAAGAAATTTAGATAGATCCGTATTAAGGACCACCATAGTACACAAATAGTTTTGTATTCCTAATTAAAGTTACAAATCTTAACTAGAAATGTAAGTTTAATTGTTTAATTCGTTTTTTGAAGGAATCACCAATTGATATGATTTAATAACTAAAAGTTATCTAAGTTTTTCATAAGTTTCATTAAAATACTAGAATAATCGAATGAATAATATTCCCTAACAAAATCTCAAACTATTATGACAACGTTCAACGATACTTACTGTACTCCCAAAATCAAAACAAAACACAAACACCACCACAACAAACACACTAAATCTAAGAGGAACCATGTCTATTTAACACTAGTTATTTTCGTTCTTGGAGCACCCGATTCCGCTCAAGAAGAGAGTTTCATTGAACCCGGCTGCGGACGACTCGATGATGATTTGAACGTCAGAAAGAACAAGTTCAAAGCCAACAATCGGCACCGTGGTTCATTCTTTCGGTCGCGTCGCATTCATTAGCGATCGGATTCTTGTCGTTCTTTCGGGTTTCGCCGGTGGTACTGCTTCTGACGCTGCTGCTGCTACCGATGGTACCGATAGCGACGGTACTTGGGTAACTTATCGGTAGGTGTGGGTTGGTGCTTTCTTGGTTCGGTACTAATCGTGCCAATTAATCAGAGATGGGACTTATATATGGAGGTTACAAGTATTTGAAATACAGATATAAGATAGAAAATACGCATTTTTATCTAATATTTGAAATAAATAAATATATATTAATTAAAATATATAATGGAAAATAAATTTCTTGCAGTTTTTAGGTATATAATAAAATTATATAAGAGTTTCTTGCCTTGAACTGCTAATATAGAAATTAATTCCACGCTGTGTTCGATATAATGTGGATCAACCTGCTCTCATTACCGGTTTCGGGGCCCTACCCCATCATCAGGTGAGCTTGGGTCGTTTCCACAATATGTCGAGCATAGCGCAGAGTATATAAACACGACTTGTCGTAAAGTAGCGGTAAGATATTAAGTCCCTCATCGCGAGATAGCGGCCTGCGTGCAATGGTAGTACTTTCGTACCTTCTTCTTCTTCTTTCTCAGCCTGGTTCCATCCAGTGTTGGATATAGGCCTCTTCTAGGTTTTTCCATGCTTTGCGATCTCTAGCCAATCTTATCCATTGTCTTCCCGCCACTGCCCTGACGTCATCGACCCATCTCTTTTTTGGTCGGCCCACACTTCTTGTTGTTCCCCTAGGTCTCCATAGGATTGCTTTTTGGGGCCATCGGTCTGGATCCTGTCTCTTTAACAACATCTTTTAATTTTGTTTTTATTAATGTGGGTATTCCGTTTTTTGACTAATTGACTCCCAACATAATTCTTTCCATGGCTCTTTGTGCTACTCGTAGTTGTTCTGCTGTTTTTCGGGTAATCGCCATAGTCTCTAAGCCATACGTAAGCACAGGCAGAATGCAGCTGTCCTAAGCCTTTTTCTTTAGGTTCATGGGCACCTTCTTATTCTTGAAAATATCGCTCATATTTCCAAATGCTACCCGTGCCAATGTGGTACTTTCGTACCACCGAGGCACAACTATCGATAGTAAATAAAGGCTTTTTTCGGCTAGCCCAAATTTTATAATGGAAAATAAATTTCTTGCAGTTTTTAGGTATATAATAAAATTATATTTTATATATAAGAGTTTCTTGCCTTGAACTGCTAATATTGATATTAATTCCACGCTGTGTTCGACATAATGTGGATCAACTTGGCTTGGGTGGTTTCCACAATATGCAAGAAATTTATTTTCCATTATATAATTTGGGCTAGCCGAAAAAAGCCTTTATTTACTATCGATAGTTGTGCCTCGGTGGTACGAAAGTACTAACATTGCACGCAGGCCGCTATCTCGCGATGCGGGACTTAATATCTTACCGCTACTTTACGACAAGTCGGGTTTATATACTCTGCGCTCTGCTCGACATATTGTGTGTAGTACCCAAGCTCACCTGGATGAGGTATCCCCAAGAGCTTTCAAGAGCAACAAATCCACTTTTCAGAAGCAGCGTGGAATGCCTTTCTATATTAGAAGTCAAGGCAAGAAACTCTGATGACCATAGGGCCATCGTCGACTATCTCAAAAACAAGCAAATTCCCTTCCATACTTATTTTTCCCCTGAAGACAGGGATCTAAATCCTAATCCTAAAATTCCTAATCAAAGGTGTAGAAGTTTTTGTCGACAACTCGGCAATAATTGAACACCTTACTTCCCAAGGCTTCGAGGTCAGAGAAATGCATCGTCTCTCACGAGACGGTATTCCTATGGCCGTCGTTAAAGTCAGAGTACCCAAACACCAAACCCACATCTTCGACATCACGCATGTGGGCTCGCTGAGGGTTCGGGTGGTGACGCCGAGGCGCGGTAATGGGGTACGTCAGTGCCACAATTGCCAGCAATTCGGCCACGCCGCCTCGAACTGCTTTGCGGCCCCGCGTTGCGTGAGGTGCGCCAAATCCCACCACACCAAATCCTGTGATAAAGAGGCTGATGCACCTGCAATTTGTTCAAATTGCGGAGGTCCGCATCCAGCTAGCCACATTTCATGCCCAAAAAATCCGAGAAATCGTAATCCCAATACTAATATCCTTAGTCAGCCGGAACCCTCAAGGGTTCCGACTCCTACCCCTCCAAATCCTACACTTTATGCTTCAGTGCTCAAAAGCAATCTCAACAACTCCCCCAAGGAAATACCCCTGAGTCATTCCTACCCATCTCTTCAATAAACCAAGAACTCCATAAACAACTACTTGAACAAGTAGCCAGTCATGTCAAAACCATTGTTTCAAACATACTTACAAGTATGTTACCTCCTATGATCTAATCTCCATTCTTCAGTACCAAATCCCCCTCCCAAAACTGTCTTCCGGACAATCACAGAACTCTTCTGGACTTAGTGTCCAGTCGCTCCTAACCCTCGCATCGCAATACTAGCCTTCAGGCACCCAGGGCTACGCCCTTCCCCAACACACAAGCAGGAATAAGAGCTGCCATTCTTCGGCCGCTGATTCCTCGGAGGTGGATCGTTTTTAGTGGGTATTTCGAATCCCACACTGTCTAGGGGTTATTTCTATAACTGTCTCTCTCGAGATGGCCATGGAAATGATCACTATTCATCTATAAAAGATTTTTAAACCACCCCCTCACCAAAAAAAAAAAAGACATATTTTGGAAACGACCCAAGCTCACCTGATGATGGGGTAGGGCCCCGAAACTGGTAGTGAGAGCAGGTTGATCCACATTATGTCGAACACAGCGTGGAATTAATTTCTATATTAGCAGTTCAAGGCAAGAAACTCTTATATAATAATAATAGCTCCCGTATATAGCGTTTGACGCCTTGGGAGTAGCAAGGTACAGCTTGCCATACTAGAGCCGTTCGGTATACAAGGAAGGTAATGTGGCTAGCACTACGCTTCAACCGCCTATTATTACCTCAGGATTGTAAATCCCAAGTACTCATTTAAGGCTGAGTCGACCGAGGTACCCAAACTATTTTTATTTTAATAAAAATAGTCGGCTGATGAAATGCCGGGTGTGGGATTCGAACCCACTACCTTGAGATTGGTAGACGGGAGCCTGTACCTCTACGCCACCGGGCACCTAGAAACTCTTATATAATTTTATTAATTAAGATATGTATATAACTTTTTTTACAATTTGTTATATTGCAATGCAACAATATTATTTAGTAAGCTTTATCTTTGTGGCAGTTGTTGCTTGCGTCCTTCTTTATCTGCAACAGTTTGAAGATTTTTAGGACTGTCCATGGGCAGGTGGTGTCGAAGGCATTGTTGGTTTCTGTTGTTAGTTTCTGTGAAAGTTTTTTTTGTTTTCTTGACTGTTTTGATGTCTGATTTTCTTCTAGTTTCGTAAGTGTGTATTTGTTTGTTAGTTTTTAAAGAAATATTTGTTTTTATTAATTTATTTTTGATTTTGTGTAGAGGTAATATATTATATTTTATTCATTGTCTTTCGTTTAGTTCTTTTGTTTTTTTGGTATACTTCTTCTGTTAGTGTTAATTTATCTAAATTAAATATTATTTTTAGTATTTTATTTTGTTATTTTTGTAGACTCTTTGATGGTTTGTGATTTCTTTGATGGCTCAAAAGAACCGAGAATTTCCGTTTCTGAGCCCAAATGACGAGGTATTTTAGATAATCAATATAATTCAAATTATTAAAACTGTTAAGAAAAATTTTCTTAGGATTTTACATATAGCATAGTATTCTTAAAATACTTTAACACATCTAAATACTCCACGGTTCTAATCACATAAATAATTATAGTGACACGAAGTCGAACATTATCGGTAATTCAAAGGTTAGAAACAGAATACTAATTAGTGGGTAACCGTTGATCGTTAAATATCTGAATATATAATATGAAGTAAAGCTTACTTGTAGAGCATATAACTCCGATGTAATTGATGAAGCAATTTGACCGCAATTTAAGATTTTTTTTATTCTTATCAACTTTATGGCCCTGTTCCCAGAAGAATCAGCGCGTTTCTTATTGGTTGAAATGTGTAGAAATGTCTTTCATGTTGTTTCTAATCATTTTAACCAATGAGTAACGTGCTGACTAGTCAGGGATTCACCCGGGAACAGACCTTATTTCGTCGATATCGATTATCAACGTCGCGACGATGTGAAAAAGCTAATTTATTTATATTGCAATCGATTTCAGCTCCATCACCGGCACCGATTTTGCCGGCGTGTGTGACAGCACTCTTTAAAGGGTTACGTTTTTTTTTCCTTTTGAGATACAGAACCATAATTTTATTAATTTGGTACTTTTAGATGTTGTTTAAGAATGTAGAATAAAAGATTATAGTTATTATTGTAGAATTAAAACCTCAGATTAGATTCTACCTTAAGAGGGTACTATTACTATTATTATTATTCACTATTGTATTATTTGACATTTATATCTCTGTCTATTGTATATACCGGGTGCGTCTCAAAAATGGCTCACCCCTATAACTTTTATATTTTTTCGGATGAAAAAATGAGATTTGGTACGTTAGTATATGATATAAATTAGGATTGATTGACGTATTCAATTGTTTTCGGCTAATTCGTATTTTTTCAGATAAAAAAACGAGATTTGGTATGTTAAGGTATGACATAAATTAGGATTGATTGGTGTATTCAATTGTTTTTGGTCACTTCTTGTTTCACCGGAAATGACTACAACTTTTGATTTTTAAATGGCACCCTCGGTATTATTTTACTTTATTCGATAGAAAATGACATTCTGAATAGAATGACATACATATGTCAGCTTTTGACAATCTCGCTTAATAAAAAATTGTATTTTAAAATTCAATGCAGAGTGTTAAAAACACTAATGCTTCATCAAGGAGACTTGGAAAAATAGATTTGATCGTCTAATGTTTTTAGTGTCTTGTCCTGGCCAGTTAGAAAATGCTGAAATCGTATTTTTAATCATATCTCAATTTTTTCAAATGAAACGAAGGTGGCTCATTAGCATATTTGGAAAAAGCATTTTTTTACGAATAATTTGATATCACACACTTGGTATTTCGAGTCAAATTTTCGTTACGAACCGCAAGTTATAATTTCAAATAAACCATATATGCGAAAATGTCAAAAGTTGACATATGATATGTCATTCTATTCAGAGTGACATTTTCTATCGAATAAAGTAAAAAATACCGGGGGTGTCATTTAACAATCAAAAGTTGTAGTAATTTCCGGTGAAACTGGAACTGACCGAAAACAATTGAATACGTCAATCAATCCTAATTTATGTCATATACTAACATACCAAATCTCGTTTTTTTAACTAAAAAAAAATAAAAAAAGTTATAGGGGGAGCCACTTTTGAGACGCACCCGGTATTTTGTAATTGGGTTATTTTGAATATACATTATTATTAATTATTATTATTGAACTTTTTAGCATCTAAACGACGTTTATTATTTCTTTATAGAGAGGCAATTGAAAGAAAACATTACACAAAGGGATTTATATATATATATATATATTTGATCGTTAGAAAACAAGATGAATGGTTACACCATGAATTAATACTGTTAACGCCATACATAGTCGTGGACAGGAAATGGAAACATTTAACTTCTGTTAATTAAAAATAATTTTAAATATTACAAAATACAAAAGTTATACTGCTACATGATAGTTATGCTTATTTATATTTTAAATAAATTATAATTTATTATAATAAATAGTAATGGCCTCACATTTTCCTTGCTGAAAATAGGTAACACGATCACTAGATTCAAATTATCTAAATTATTTTCCTTAAGTACAAAAATTAAATTACAAAACACACTTTCATCTGACTAGTTCGTAATAATTGATATAAATTATGTGTCATTACGGGTTTGTGCATATACAGGGTTGTTTGCCACATACGACACGGAGTAGCTAAACGATTAGATTTTTGCAAATTGTAAGTTTTAGGTTCGCCGAAGGACTATTAGAGCTACAATTTAAAAATATTTTTACAAGATACAGAATGTCCCAAATAAATAAAGAAATATTAAAATTGTATTTTTTTAAATGGAGCTCCCAGTATATTATTACATTTTTAGTTTCTACTATTAAAATGAAGGTAAATTGGATTAAGGTTTACCGCATTTTAATTTTACCGTTTTTGAAATATTTAGGTTTGTGTCAAAATACAGTAATAATTTTAATGCTTCATTTCTCGAGGGGTATTTAAGTTTTTAAAACTAAATATTATACAGAAGTATTTCTATTTACTAAATTTTCTGTTCCAATAATAAAAATTGTACTATCACATACATAGTGTCTAAAAATTTATTTTAAATAATTACTAGCTTTAAACGGCAATAACATGTTTAATTTAAATGGAAGACCCTGTATATTTTATGAGAATCAGGTGCATTTTTTTTATGTAATTTAGACCTTATTTATCAATATACCCATGGCATATTGATATTTTAGATTATTTTTAAATATGCAACAAATTTTTAAAGAGTGCAGATACTAAAATCGATATAGTTCGTTTATTTCATTAAAAAAACTGTTTAAATATGTATTTATAAGATTCCAGTATTCAAACTACATTAATTGACTGTTTGCGTTGATTAATAATACTCTTAAGTATGTAATAAATTAATACCGTATGATCGAATAAGCACGGCGTCAGCGATGGCTATGAAATGACGATCGATGACGTTTTCCATATCATTTTACATATGAAATGACAGCGATCTTCATTTCATAACCATCGCTGACGCCGTTTTTATTCGATCATACGGTATTTGGGCGGAAATAATGGTGGTATATTTAATTAATGGTGTACTCTTTTATAAAGATTTAAATAGTTTTCTTTTTGTATACAAATGGGCTAGTAATACTATCGTTTTTAGCACCTCTACGTTTTGTACATTTGCTGCTTTAAAACGATCTTCTACGAAAACTTGAAGGGATAGGTAAAAAATGGTATAATACAGTTTGATGGACAATTAAATTGTGCGTCTGATTCTACTAAAATATACAGGGTGTTCCATTTAAATTAAAGAAGTTATTGCCGTTAAAATCTAGAAATTATTTAAAATAGATTTTTAGACACTCTGTATGAGGTAGTATCATTTTTATTATTGTAACACAAATATTCAGTATTAAAAACTTTGATACATTTGGATAAATGAAGCCTTAACATTTCACAAAATTGAAAATATTTCACAAACTGTAAGATTTAAATGTGATAAACCTTAATCAAATTTACCTTTATTTTAATCGTAGAAACTAAAAATGTAATAATACACAGGGCGTTGCATTTGAAAAAATACAACTTTGATATTTTTTTTTTATTTGGGACACTCTGTATCTTATAAAAATATTTTTAAATTGTAGCTCTAATAGTCCTTCAACGAACCCAAAACTTACAATTTGTAAAATTCTAATCGTACTCCGTGTTTTTATGTGGTGAACAACCCCGTAGAAATTTGATATTTCAAAAAAAGTTTGAAAAATGTGACACCATTATTTTATGGCATTTTGCTCCGTATCGAAGCGGGTTTCTTAGCAGTCGCAGAAGTAGCTTTGGTAGCGCTGGAAGTAGTCGGTTTAAGGTAGCTCATCCCTCCAGGTCTTGGAGGTTTGTTTCCTGGGGTACTGCTGTTAGAAGATGAGCGCCTTAGACTAGCTCTGGGTGCCGAAGAGATACTGGATATCGATTTGTTACTCGGAGTGCGCTGGACTGTTCTCGGTGCGGCGTGCAAACTGTTTGTTGTCTTAATAGGCAACCTCTTCACAGTGTTGACAGATGTAGCGCTGTTCAAGGAACTTCTGGAGCTGGCTATGCTGTTTCGCGAGTTAGATTTTTGAATGGGGTTATTTTTGTTGGTTAGTACGTTGCTTTTAGGCTCGATTTTTCGTATACTTTCCGACCTTCGGGGTTGAGACGCGGCCTTTTTTACCGGCTCTCTCACCGAAGACGATCGTTTTAAACTCTTCGGGTCGACTGTCCTACTTGGAGTTAAGGCTGTTAGGTTTTTAGTGGACTTTTCAGGTTTAAAGTCTTTCGTTTCAACTCTGAACGGTTTAAACGATCGATGGGTTATGTCGGTCGGATCGGGAATGTCGCTTTCGTAGATTCCTCCGCCAGACGAAGTTCCTTGACTGGGCGATTCTGACATTAGGCTTTGGGATTCCTCGAAGCCCTCGTCCTTGTCGTGTTCGCGGCCTTTCCGAGGAATGTCGATTTTGCTTGATTCAACCTTAAAACAAAAATATCGTTTAGTTAATCATTAATATTGCATAAATAAAACTATTTTTAGTACACTTCTATACAGGGTGTGTTTCCTACAATGTTCTGGGTATCTCGGAAACTACTGGAGATAGAGAGTCGGTTAAATGGGGAAAGAATTGCAGTTTTGTGAGGTCATAAATATGCGCCTTTCAGATTTTTGAAAAAGTTCATGGCTTACTAGATATTTCGAAAAAAAAACAAATTTCGGCTATTTTAAAAATTGTTCCTAACTCCATTATAAGCTGCTTTAGACAAAAAGTTTTCAGATAAAAGTTGTAGATAATCACATCCTTAATGAGACTGTGCCCTCTGTTTTCTTCTAAAGCCTGTCATTTTTGACATATAACACAAACATATGTTTTTTTTTAAATGGAAACCATAGTTGGCCATGACTTCATAAAAAGCGTCATTTTTTAAGTTTTTCAGGGATATAAGCTAAAATATGTTTTCTTCGAAAAATTACTGAATTATAGCCAATTCTTATAATTTTTAAACAATTTCACTTAGCCATGGAAACAAGTTTAATCGTCTATCCTCTCGGAAATGTGAAGCTGTCACATCCAAACTTTGTAAATTAAAATAAGCAAAAATTGTAAATATGTATATTTCAAATGAAGAAAAGCGTGTAGGATTATTGGTTCAACTTTTCTTGACCATACATTTTCGTGGATACGTTAACCGGTGAATGTTACGTTTTTTAGGGAACGGTTTTCAAGACATGTTAGAAAAGTTACATTTAGTTATAGCCAATTCTGTGTTACATTTAGTTATAGCCAATCTTTCTTGATTAATTTCAATTGGATTGCATGATATTCTTATTCTATTAGGATTTATAAAACTTATAAAAAGTTAGAATTATAACGACTAATAACGGTTTTAGGGCTGTTAGGCCGTGGTCAAGAGTGGTTCCTTATAATTTACATTACACAAACTAAAACTTAAAAAATAATATCACTGCATACACTTTAAGTTATTTTAGAAAATGTTCAAAAAATCCGCCATTGTTTTGAGTTGCATCTTTTTAAAACTGAATTACTACCTATTCTCATAGAAGGACCGGTCGACTTAATTAAACTTCTCTCGTACCGCCACTTCGAGTGCTTTTCTTAATTCACAAGTTCTTTTGTAAACCTTACTGTTAACCATACCGCATAAAAAAATCTAAAATGGATAGGTCAGGTGATCGAAGAGGCTCATGCAATTGGTCCAACTCTTTCTATCCCTGAGTTTGCATAATTATGATATAAATAATTTTTAACATTTCTTTCATTATGAAGGGGGGGCGTAATAAAAGTCATGTTGGAACCACTCTATTGAAGCGGGAGTATCTACACGCTTTTCTTCATTTGAAAAATTCATATTTACAACTTTTGTTTATTTTAATTTTCAAAATTTGGATGTGACAACTTCACATTTCTGAGAGCAAAGACGATTAAACTTGTTTCCATGGCTAACTAAGTGAAATTGTTTAAAACGATAAGAATTGGCTATAACTCGAAGGAAACATATTATAGTTTATATCGCTGAAAAGCTTAAAAAATGGCGCTTTTTATGAAGTCATGGCCAACTATGGTTTCCATTTAACAAAAAACATATGTTTGTGTCATATGTCAAAAATGGCAGGCTTTAGAAGAAAACGGAGGGCACAGTCTCATAAAGGATGTAATTATCTACAACCAGATGGAAAAAGGATGTTGAATGTGGAGAAAAAAGGCGAAAGACAGAAACATGTGGAGAAAGATAACCAATCAAGCCATTTGCTTTTTAGGCCTTTTAGATCTATTATATTATATAAACACTTCTATAATCTTCTTTTTTCTTTCTATATTCTTCATGCATTTTTTATTAATATATGGTGAGTCTTAAATAAATACAAATATTTTTTGGGGTGGTATATTGCAACCCCAGGAACACCTCTATGAGTTTTTTCGCAAAAAAAGATGTCAAAAATCGTACATTTTCTTGTATGTTTTTTATTGTCAATGAATGAAATCAAAATTATATTACCATAGAAACGTGTTTTGATATTTAGGACTATTTTTAGGACTATCGAGCTGATGGATCTTATAATTATGGGGATATTATTATTATATTTATTTATCCATAAAATTGAAATTTTTCAACAAAAGTGAAGATCAAAACAAAAAGATACCTAATAATTTACATGGAAGTAATACGGATCTGGATGACAAGATATATATAAACTTATAAACGCAATTTAAGCGCATTTTAAGTTAAGAAGACAAAGTATTAGTACAAAGTTTAAAAAATAATGGTTCTATAGGACAATTATTATTACCTTAACGCTAGCAGGAGGTATGAAATCTTTAAGACCACTGGTACTAGAATTGCTAACTTCGTTCATTCTTAAAGCTAGCTGGATGTCACTGGCACTCACTCCCGTTTGATTTCTTGATCGTCTAGATGATCTGGTTGGTCTAGAATCAAACAATTAATCAGTTAGTATATTCAATTTTATAATCACAGTATTTGTATCTTACTCTGTATTATTGTGAGTTTTTAATTTATCTTGCCAGGCTTTCAGTCTGATTTCTTTGGGCTCTTCAATATCATCGGATATGGTGGATTTTAATGTGTCTGAAATAGGTGATTTTGCTTCGGGTGATGATTCTACGGTACGCTCAGTTGGTGATGGTGTCTCGCTAGGCTCTGTGCTTCGCTTATACCTATAATATAATGATTTTACAGAAACACGAATAAATTAAAATACGAAAATAACAAAGTAATAATTATTTTTTAGAAATTTTCCTATGTGAATATTATGTTGTTATAAATAAACATTTTTACGTTCTTTAGGTTTTTAATTTATAAAATTAAGGTTTTTTATAATATTATGTGTATAGAAATAAAAACAAATTAGTGAGTATTTCATTATCTTATTCATACATTTTATTTAGATTGCTTGAATACTGATTTTTCTTTTATTTTGTTTCCCTATCTTGATAAAACTTACTTCAATTAGCTTCTACTTTACCTTCTTCAGCTGATATAGATGCATGATGTAAAGAAACAAAAAATATTTAAGTAAGGATATCTGAAGCGGTTTATTGAAATATAGGGCTTATATCTCTAAATCTAAATATAAAATAAGAATCCTTCAAATAAATACAAACAGAAGTCGATGCGCTCATGACATGGCCATAGCTACACCTCCCGAAGTAAATGCTTCAATTCTAGTAATCAGTGAACCAAATACAACTGCTGTAAAAGAGAGACAAGACTGGGTATGTGACGATAATCTCGACGTAGCCTTAAAAGTTTTTGATAAGGACCTAACCATAAAGAACCAAGGCACTGGGGCAGGGTTCTCTTATGTTACAACCAAAGACGCCACTATATACAGTTGCTACTCATCAGGTAACAAGGAACTTGTACACTTAGAGACAATGTTAGAGGCTATTGAAGAATTAATAAACAGTCACAAGGGCAGAACCATAATAACTGGGGATTTCAACGCCAAGTCCCCGGGGGATGGATTATGGAGTTTATGGGGGATGAATTATAGAGATATACGCGGACATACAATAGTAGACTGGATGGCAGCTAACAATCTCGTAATTGCAAATGAGGGCATTACACCAACTTTCCAATGTAATAATTACACATCAATTCTGGACCTGACTATAGTCAGTGAAAATGTTAATATACAAAAGTGGACAGTTATGGATAGAGAGTCCCTCGGCGATCATAAGTATATAACGTTCGAATGTGTTAACAATGTACAAGCAAAAAGTATTAAAACTTATAACAGGGGCTGGCGTGTTGATAAACTAAATAAAGAAAAGCTAAAAGACGAATTAGGGAAAATTGACCAGAAGTCTGAAAGTACCAGCGTCAAATGTTTCAATGAACTACTAACCAGAATCTGCGATAGAACAATGCCAAAGAAGAAAAAGAGCAAAAGAGGGCAACCGGTATATTGGTGGAATGAGGAGATTGCGAATCTTAGAAGTCAGTGCTTAAGGAAGAGAAGATCATATACAAGACAAGCGCACAAAAGTCTACCATTATTAAGCGAACTCTGGGAAGAATATAAAAATCCAAAAAAAATGCCATTAAAAGATCAAAACAAAAAAGCTGGAAAAATCTATGCGAAGATCTTGACAGAGCTATTTTTGGGAATGGTTACAAAATAGCAATGAGATGGATAAATGGCTTTCAACCAAGACCAAATTTGGATATGGTATGGAAGAAGTAGTAGCTTATCTCTTCCCTATACACCCAAAAGTCTGTGATAACTTCTGTGATAACAACATATGTGATATAAATCAAATCGTAACCTGTGATAATAGTGATAATAATAAAACGATCTGTGATAGAATACTAGCTTTAATAAGGACGAACTATTGGCGGCTTGTAATAAACTTAAAAATGGCAAAACACCAAGTCCAAGCAATATACCCGCCTGAGATACTAAAAGAAGCAGTTTTATACCTACCAGAATATTCATTAAAAGTATATAATAGACTAGTAATGGCACAAATCTTCCCAGAGGAATGGAAACAATCAAAGCTGATCTTACTTCAAAAGGGCGAAAGTAGAATTCGAAGTCCAGCAGCCTACCGTCCGATTAGTCTTCTCGATACACAGGGTAAACTATATGAGCACTCGATACTAAATAAACTGAATGAAGAACTAGCCAGAACAGGAGGGCTCTCAAACTATCAGTTTGGTTTTAGAAAAGGCAGACAAACGGTTGGGGCAATTGCTGAATTGCTAAAAAAGGCTTTAAAAGCAGCGGACTACGGACCGAACAACCGAAAGCTATGTGCTGTGATAACTCTAGATGTAAGAAACGCATTTAATAGCGCATCCTGGCAAATTATTCTGGATAGATTAAAAAAGAGAGGCATCGAGACGAGATTAATGCGACTTATCGCATCATATCTATCAGACAGGAAGTTGATACTAGAAGCAGATAACCAGGTTAAAATTGTGGAGATTAATAGTGGGGTACCACAGGGCTCGGTACTGGGTCTCACCCTGTGGAATATTTTATACGACGACCTTCTTGAAACAAAAATGGCTGAGGGTACCAAACTAATTGATTTGCGGACGACCTGGCAATGGTGGTAGTTGCAAAAACTGAAGAGGCACTGATGAACACTGCCAACACTAGTTTGATTAGAGTCTTAAATTGGATGAAAAAAATAAACTTCAATTAGCCCCACACAAGACGGAGGCAATTTTGTTGACAACCAAATGGAAAATTTTAGAAATACCTTTTAACCTTGAAGATGTAGAAATTAAACTCAGCAAAACCATTAGATACTTAGGAGTATGGCTTGATACCAAAATGAAATTTGGCGAGCACATTGATAAAACGGTAAGCAAAGCAAGCAAAACATACATTAGCTGTACTGTCGCGTCTACTTCCAAATGCCGCTGGACCAAGAGCTTCTAAAGAATGGTTCTAGTGGGGGTCATTCACTCCCAACTTCTATATGCTGCACCTATATGGTACAAGGCAATGGACAATAATAAATATAGACAGAAAATAAACAGTATACAGCGTACAACGGCTATAAGAGTCAGCAGTGCCTACAGAACCATTTCTGCAGAGGCTGATCGCGTAATAACGGGTATACCTCCAATGCATCTCTTGGTTCAAGAACGAGTTGAAACCTACCAAGGAACTTTGAAAACTAAAGCTCGAAGTAAACTATGGATAAAATGGCAAGAAGAATGGGTCAACGGCAAGTATGGAAGGTGGACGTATAGTTTAATTCCTAATATTAGAGAATGGATAGAGAGGCCATATGGTGAAGTAGATTATTTTACCACCCAGGCCTTGTTGGCCCATGGGTGTTTCATAAGTTATCTATTTAATCGAACGAAATCACCAACAAACCATTGTGTATACTGTAACGAGTTAGATGATGCTCAACATACCTTGTTCGAATGTCCAAGATGGTCGGTGTTAAGACATCAGTACTATGTAGCATTCCTTTTACAGCAGAAACTATGATGAATAGCCTGAAAGAAGATGGCCTATAGAGATGGCCTTCAGATTGAGAATGTAGAAAAATGTTGTTTTAAATTTTATTGTGTTACGCTGTTTTGAAACAACTGACAAACGAGTACGTCTCAATATTGTTTCCAACTGACAAAGGAGTACAACAGGGAGACGCGATATCCCCAAAGCTCTTTACAGCAAGATTAGAAGAAATCTTCCGTCGACTGAACTGGACCAAAAAAGCATTAACCATCTAAAATTCGCTGATGGCATAGCCTTAATTGCCAATAGTCATGAAGAACTTCAAGCACAAATTAATAAATTAAATATAGCCAGCAATGGAGTGGGTTTCAGAACGAATTTAGCAAAAACTAAAGTAATGTACAACGAACTAGTGGAAAGAAAAGTCCCCGGGGGATGGATTATAGAGTTTATGGGGGATGAATTATAGAGATATATGCGGACATACAATAGTAGACTGGATGGCAGCTAACAATCTCGTAATTGCAAATGAGGGCATTACACCAACTTTCCAATGTAATAATTACACATCAATTCTGGACCTGACTATAGTCAGTGAAAATGTTAATATACAAAAGTGGACAGTTATGGATAGAGAGTCCCTCGGCGATCATAAGTATATAACGTTCGAATGTGTTAACAATGTACAAGCAAAAAGTATTAAAACTTATAACAGGGGCTGGCGTGTTGATAAACTAAATAAAGAAAAGCTAAAAGACGAATTAGGGAAAATTGACCAGAAGTCTGAAAGTACCAGCGTCAAATGTTTCAATGAACTACTAACCAGAATCTGCGATAGAACAATGCCAAAGAAGAAAAAGAGCAAAAGAGGGCAACCGGTATATTGGTGGAATGAGGAGATTGCGAATCTTAGAAGTCAGTGCTTAAGGAAGAGAAGATCATATACAAGACAAGCGCACAAAAGTCTACCATTATTAAGCGAACTCTGGGAAGAATATAAAAATCCAAAAAAAATGCCATTAAAAGATCAAAACAAAAAAGCTGGAAAAATCTATGCGAAGATCTTGACAGAGCTATTTTTGGGAATGGTTACAAAATAGCAATGAGATGGATAAATGGCTTTCAACCAAGACCAAATTTGGATATGGTATGGAAGAAGTAGTAGCTTATCTCTTCCCTATACACCCAAAAGTCTGTGATAACTTCTGTGATAACAACATATGTGATATAAATCAAATCGTAACCTGTGATAATAGTGATAATAATAAAACGATCTGTGATAGAATACTAAGCTTTAATAAGGACGAACTATTGGCGGCTTGTAATAAACTTAAAAATGGCAAAACACCAAGTCCAAGCAATATACCCGCCTGAGATACTAAAAGAAGCAGTTTTATACCTACCAGAATATTCATTAAAAGTATATAATAGACTAGTAATGGCACAAATCTTCCCAGAGGAATGGAAACAATCAAAGCTGATCTTACTTCAAAAGGGCGAAAGTAGAATTCGAAGTCCAGCAGCCTACCGTCCGATTAGTCTTCTCGATACACAGGGTAAACTATATGAGCACTCGATACTAAATAAACTGAATGAAGAACTAGCCAGAACAGGAGGGCTCTCAAACTATCAGTTTGGTTTTAGAAAAGGCAGACAAACGGTTGGGGCAATTGCTGAATTGCTAAAAAAGGCTTTAAAAGCAGCGGACTACGGACCGAACAACCGAAAGCTATGTGCTGTGATAACTCTAGATGTAAGAAACGCATTTAATAGCGCATCCTGGCAAATTATTCTGGATAGATTAAAAAAGAGAGGCATCGAGACGAGATTAATGCGACTTATCGCATCATATCTATCAGACAGGAAGTTGATACTAGAAGCAGATAACCAGGTTAAAATTGTGGAGATTAATAGTGGGGTACCACAGGGCTCGGTACTGGGTCTCACCCTGTGGAATATTTTATACGACGACCTTCTTGAAACAAAAATGGCTGAGGGTACCAAACTAATTGGATTTGCGGACGACCTGGCAATGGTGGTAGTTGCAAAAACTGAAGAGGCACTGATGAACACTGCCAACACTAGTTTGATTAGAGTCTTAAATTGGATGAAAAAAATAAACTTCAATTAGCCCCACACAAGACGGAGGCAATTTTGTTGACAACCAAATGGAAAATTTTAGAAATACCTTTTAACCTTGAAGACGTAGAAATTAAACTCAGCAAAACCATTAGATACTTAGGAGTATGGCTTGATACCAAAATGAAATTTGGCGAGCACATTGATAAAACGGTAAGCAAAGCAAGCAAAACATACATTAGCTGTACTGTCGCGTCTACTTCCAAATGCCGCTGGACCAAGAGCTTCTAAGAGAAGGGTTCTAGAGGGGGTCATTCACTCCCAACTTCTATATGCTGCACCTATATGGTACAAGGCAATGGAAAATAATAAATATAGGCAGAAAATAAACAGTATACAGCGTACAGCGGCTATAAGAGTCAGCAGTGCCTACAGAACCATTTCTGCAGAGGCTGTTAATAACGGTAATACCCCCAATGCGTCTCTTGGTTCAAGAACGAGTTGAAACCTACCAAGGAACTTTGAAAACTAAAGCTCGAAGTAACCTATGGATAAAATGACAAGAAGAATGGGTCAACGGCAAGTATGGAAGGTGGACGTATAGTTTAATTCCTAATATTAGAGAATGGATAGAGAGACCATATAGTGAAGTAGATTATTATACCACCCAGGTCCTGTCGGGCCATGGGTGTTTCAAAAGTTATCTATTTAATAGAACAAAATCACCAACAAACCATTGTGTATACTATAACGAGTTAGATGATGCTCAACATACCTTGTTCGAATGTCCAAGATGGTCGGTGTTAAGACATCAGTACTATGTAGCATTCCTTTTACAGCAGAAACTATGATGAATAGCCTGAAAGGAGATGGCCTATAGAGATGGCCTTCAGATTGAGAATGTAGAAAAATGTTGTTTTAAATTTTATTGTGTTACGCTGTTTTGAAACAACTGACAAACGAGTACGTCTCAATATTGTTTCCAACTGACAAAGGAGTACAACAGGGAGACGCGATATCCCCAAAGCTCTTTACAGCAAGATTAGAAGAAATCTTCCGTCGACTGAACTGGACCAAAAAAGCATTAACCATCTAAAATTCGCTGATGACATAGCCTTAATTGCCAATAGTCATGAAGAACTTCAAGCACAAATTAATAAATTAAATATAGCCAGCAATGGAGTGGGTTTCAAAACGAATTTAGCAAAAACTAAAGTAATGTACAACGAACTAGTGGAAAGAAAAGACATTCTTATCAATAACACAACACTGGAAATAGTAGAATAATATATTTAGTTCGCCTTTAAAATGATCCAATAAAAACAGACAAAATGTTTTGAGTCAACCGATACTGATCCCGGATTAGTTACTATTATTTTATTCATTTTCATATTAATTTTTTTGATACTCACTTGATTTTGATACGCTGCGAAGCGTGATCGCTGGAAAAAAATCAAGTTTCGAGTCGGACTACAATAGTCGCGCTTCGCGCTTCTGTATCGGCTGGAATCGCTGGGATCAGTGCCGATAACGTGGATAGGTGAGATAGATTCATTTTTTTATCTGGGATAAGTTAACTGATCCGAGCGTCAGGGATTAGATTCTGATATCAGTTCTACCCAAGTAGCATTTTCACGACTTGCGACCACATGTTTACTAATCACAACGTTGGATTAGTTACAAAAAATAGTTAGCTCCCTACCTTGGGTATTAAAATAAATTTAAACGTTTTTATAACGTTGTGCCGACGTTGGACTAGTACTACAGCAAAGTAGGAAGCTTCTGCGACGTCGAATAAACGTTGTCTTGCAACCTTTTTTGCTTAAGTGATCTTTAGGTGATTCGGACAACGTAGTTACAACGTTGGACAATATAGAGTTTTCCGACGTCAGTTTCAGGACCTATTCCAACGTTATGCAAACGTCGTCTGTTTTACTAATTACAACGTTGTTTAGATTTCCTTATTCTTACGTTGGTAGGACGTCGAGTCACTACCTTTTTGCAACTGTATTGAACCATAACCTTAAATTTTAAATTTTCACTTCATTGTTCTGTTCAGTCAGACAGTTCAGTGCTGTTTTTGTTTTTATAAAAAAGAACTTAATTAAAATGGGACATAAGAAAGGTACATATAAAACTAAATTTAAATATACATCGACATATATTACCGATAGTTTATCCACTCCCTCGTTCATTTATATTATAGAGGGCGGCACAAGCTAGACTCTAGGATGACTAAATTAGGCAATCTTGCGACTAGTATACTACCTGTTAAGGCCGAACTGCGACTTTATTAGTCCAGTATGCGACTACTCGAACTTCTCCATCTTAATCTCCAAAACAACAAAGTGAAAGCCGCCATGTTGTTAAATAAGAAAATGTTTCGTTCCTAAAATAGCAATTCCTGCTTTTTTGAATACATTAACTTGAAATATTTGACCCTAAAAACACGCGAAACAATTTTTTTCGACTGCGAATAAATTATTCTCATTTTACTAAAAAAATCAAGAAAATTTTTAAAACTTCTTTAATTTTAAGGCCCATTAGTATTTTTCAAAGTGAGAAACAATACATTTATCAATAAAGTTGTTTGCGTTTAACTTTTTTGCCTTGGGTAACGAGTTACAGAGTCGGTTAAAGTGTTTCAATAATTATGATCTTCAAACATCCTCCACACTTAAATACTTTTGTTTTGTTTTCCTTCACTGCCATTTGACATATGTCTCTAACTAAATCATAAAAGTAATATTTTTACTATAATTATCCCAATTTAGGATAAAACGCGACTTAGACGCCATATTAGTTTTGTATTTCTGTGAATTAGGATTTTAAACAACGTTGCAATAAATTTTAAACAACGTTCGACCCAAAAATTATTCTCCAAACTAGTGCAGACTAGGGTTGGTACGAGGTTGTGCCGACGTTGCGCCCCGACGTTTGGTCGCGTGACACAACGTTGTCCCGACGTCCAAATGCTGCTTGGGTAGTATTCGTTCGCCATCACTATTAATAAAAGCTAAACGAGGTTATATCACACCATAAAATAATTAACTAGAAAGAAGTGTCAACTCTGTGTTAAATCGTGGAAACACGATACGCCACCGAAAGCCTTCGTTGTCGTCTGGAGAACTAATTTTCCAATTGACAGGTTGACATGATAAGGACATGATGGCTTAATTTTCATTTCCGTTTCCGGTTATTCAATGGCGGGTCCTCTTTCAGTTCAAATGTATTTTGTATTTTTTCTTTTCATAAATAAAACCAAAAATAATTTATTCACATATATTTATTTGAAATATGGAACAACGTGACTAAATAAATATAAAAATATAGAGGATTGTATTGTTTCAATACCAATTAGTTAATTATATGTACTTTTAACGTAAATTAGTTAAGGTATAAGCATGACTTACAGTAATTTGTAAATAAACACACGTATTCGCAGACTTCAAGGACAGAAAACGGACACAGGGACATGAAAACGAGAGCCTTATACAAAAACCTGAAAACAGAAAAACAATTTTTTTATACTAAAATTAACAATGTAAAAATATCAATAGGTATAAAATATAAATATACTGTTTAAAAAAGCGTCCATTATTCCCAAAGTGACCTGGCTTATCAAAAGAAGCAAAAAGAGACTTTTAGTCGGATAACATAATCAGATTATCAGTCCGATTTATTGCATTATTGACAATAAATCGCACGTACTGGAGATAACTAATGTTGGCTATAGTTAAAAAATGATCTTACCTTGCTGTAAATTGATTCCATTTTCAAAAAAATCGCCGATCAAAGAGATTATAACACCATTTTCTTGCATCTAAAAATGTAAAAACAGTGTTTATTTACTACCTATTTTTCATATACATGGGACATACCTACTACTGCAGAAACGTCATTTTCTCCAGGATTGTTCATGTAATATATATTTTATATACTTTATTACCATTATATTTATAAATGTCAGCCGAAATATTAAATTGAACTTCCAAAACGAAACTAAACGGAATGAATTAAAATGGCGTCGAATATTTTCGAATTTGTTCTAGAACAAATCTGAAGTTGTCTCTGAAACTGAAATCTGTCAATTCTAAACTGTGAAGTTAGACAATAGTTAGACAAAAACAATGCTGTCCTTGTCTAGGCGGCCATACTTGTCGTGAGGAGAATGACAGGAATGACACTAATGACTGTTTCCAATTTTCCTATTTCACTGTCACCCCCCTGTATCACACTAGTCGCGTTCTGTGTGGCCATAAACTCAGTTAAGCCGCAAGATTACTATGTAGGTACCTACTCTCATTATATATCATCTTATTTTTACTTCTATTACCTTCTGGTTCGTCTTGCTGCCGAGAACCTGTCGAACTGGCCTTCACCAAACGTATTCTCCATTTCACTTAACATCCTTTTGCATGGACTGGGTGGTACTGGTTCTCTCTTCTCCGTCGGCGTAGGAATGTAGACTTTTCTTGTAGCCGGCGGAGTTTCGATATTATCCTGATCGATTTCAACTTTGTTGCTACTGACAGACGATGAATCGATGCTTTGCTGCGATTCCCTTATTTTTGATGGCACATTAGCTGCAATTCATAAGGAATATGTAAGTAATATTGATTTCGAAATATTAATATCTGCTCCAAACGTAAAAAATCTTGTAAGGCTGATGAGATATAGTTTCTAATTACTGTTTGGTGGGTACACATTATACGATGGTGGCGCCTCTCACATGTCGCGGAAGATACAAGGACAATGACAGTTTGAATTGAAATGAAATTTTGTGAGCAGATGTAGGTTAATTGAAAGCATTTTTTAATATAGAGAGTTCGGCAGGGTGTCCCCAAAAAAGTTACACAACAAAGATTTGTTTTTTTTGTTATTGAACACCCTATATATTAAGTGATTTTCTGATTTTAAGAAGAGAATAAAGGTGACTTTCATTAAAGAAGTATACAACCAAAATGAAAGTTTATTGAAATATTTAACATTTTCTCAAAATAAAGAACATATTTTAAATTTCAGTAAAAGCGACCTAAATGGGAATTTACCCGGTATAGTCTGTATGTAGCTAAATTAACTATTGTACTTTAAATCAAATTAATACTTGATCCAAAAAGTAATACAGGGTGAGACAAAATTAATATTGTACATTGATCACGTTTAAAAGCATGTTACTCTTTTATTTTAAATGGAACACCCAGTATATATGTTGTACTTATAATTTGTAAATCTAATTAAAACTTGAGCCAAAATGTTATACACGGTGAGACAAAATTAATATTGAACGTTGGTGGTTGATGGCTTTAAAAAATAATAATGATTTTTTAAAGGTTACTCTAAAAGCAAGTTACTCTTTTATTTTAAATATGATACCTACCCATGGTACAAAGAATACAAGGTATGATCGATAGCGGCTCCAATTTCGTTCAGTTCGCGCATACCACCTGTGACGTCACTAGGAAAATGAGGAATAAATAAAAAATAAAGAAAGTTGACAGGAGATCTGCATTTTTTTGGGTTATGGTTAAGAATTTTTTATTTTTAATACTTTTTAGTTCGTTTAATTTAATAATTACAAAAACCAGAAGTTCAAAAAAAATATTTAAAAATAATAATTATCTATTAACATGGATTTGGACTTTGGACCATAATAGGTAAGAATACTAAATTTATTTCTATATTCGGTACCTATAAAATTGTTTATTAGGTTTTTAGTTTGCAATGTTTATTGTAAATGATTTTTATGTTCATTGCCTCTGATTTCACATGAGGACAGAGATGAGGATATATATGGAAAAGTAACCACAAGAGGAATTGTTACATCATTTAAAAAATATTGGGAATTTTATTGTTTCCCATCGAAAAGTAGAAAATGCCAATGCAGATGAATGTATTGTCATTGTGATAGAAGTAGTACCAAGGGTGAAGTTTATTATAATTAGTTACCTGTGCTTTTCTTTTTATATGTAGATGTTTCAGGTTTTGAGAATAAATCGGTTGAACGACACCCAAAATTTAAAGGAAGTATTTGCATACCCAGAATATGTCCATCAAGGATTATATAGCTCAAATTTCCTTTAATGGTAGGCAATTATTCAATGCAAATTAACTTTTTAAGTGACTGAAATATTAAATAGTTTACAATATGGTATATCACTAAAAATATATTACTTTTAGGTACAATTAGGGCCCGATACATTTCAAAAAGTAGAATATTATTTTATATTAAATGAGGTATTGTACTAACAATCAATTTATATTAATAACGGAGATTAAAAATAACAGAATAAATAGTTCTTTTTTTATACTACAAAATAAACTATAGAATACAACAGTATTTAAAAAATAAATAAAAGTTATGTCCCGGCCGAGATTCGAACTCCGGTCTCTCGCTTCCTAGCCCGACTCCTTATGCACTGCTCCACAGTAACTTGCTTAGCGATAATTCAATGACGGTATATAAACAAAAAAAAACAGGTTTATAACAACATCTTGACGATTTGATCTGGCGCGCGGAGCGTGCTGACCAATAGCGCCTGTTATCACCTGTGACGTAGCGACCAACCTGCGCAATATCATACCTTGTATTCTTTGTACCATGGGTACACATTATACGATGGTGGCGCCTCTCATAGTCTCATATGAGGCGGAAGATCCAACGACAATGACAGTTAGAATTGAAATGAAATTTTGTAGATGTAGGTTAATTGAAAGCATTTTTTTAATATTGAGAGTTCGACAGGGTGTCCCCAAAAAAGTTACACATCAAAGATTTGTTTTTTTGTTATTGAACAGCCTATATATTAAGTGATTTTCGGATTCTGGAAAAAGAATAATGGTGACTTTCATTAGAGAAGTATATGACCAAATTTTTTTTTTAAATATTTAACATTTTCTAATAATAAAGAACATATTTTAAATTACAATAAAAGCTACTTAAATTGGAATTTACCAGGTCTGGCCTAGGGAGAGCGCCCACCAAAGTGACGTAGCATATGACGTTGCACATACATGGTAATGATACGGCAATAGCGTTGCAAGATTTTTCAGGAAGCGCACATACAGGGTGTTTCAAAACAAATGCGAAAAACTTTAGGGGGTGATTCCTTGTTCAAAATAAAGGGTAGTTTGCTTTATAAACGTTGGGTCAAAAGTCAACCATTAGGGAGATATCGCGGTACAAAGATGGCGGAAAAATAATGTTTTTATTTTTTATCTTGAAAACGAAAGAGATAGACTAATGAAATTTTATGGAAGCATTACTGTTATGAGAAACACACTTTCAGGTAATTTTTTACTTTTTAAAATGAGTGGAAGGGTTTGAAATAAACTACCCCTATCATACTTGTTAACGAAATTTAAAGAAAAATCTTATCAAACACATGCAAATGCTTTAATTTGGATAGTTTAGTTTGTTTAGAAACTTTTTTACCTCTTGTGCTTTTTTGATAAAACTCACCGATTGGAAATTAAAAAATAAAATGTAAAGCATGTCAGGACAAAAAACATTTTTAGATTAAGTATCTAGTGATAATAACGATAATAATAATCATCTATAGTAAACGCCACGAATGTTTGGGAGTGATTCATCGGTCGCTACCATGTGAACTAATCTGTTCAAAGTCACATAAAACTTAATTCCAGTGCCGTGGTGTTTCAAGTCATATAATAATCAATATATAATCTGTTGTAATTTGTTGTTTTAACTGTCAAAGTCTTGTCAAAAACATATATTTGGTTATAAATATAAAATGGAATGCCCCATTGGTCGCACTGCAAGCACACCAATGGACTGACGCACAAAAACGAATCAATCAAAGAAACGCGATATAGTATCGTCTTTGTCAATCACGCTAACATTTTAGAATAAGTAGGAGGAGCGCAGACAGATGATTAGACCGGGCCTTTAAAAACCTACGTCTGTCGGTAAAAATTTACGTTTTTAATGTAAAAATGATAGCGCGCGTGTCGATTCTAACTTCATCAAGCGATGAATCACTCCCAAACATTCGTGGCGTTTACTATAGATAATAACGTATTGCAGTAGAGTAATGTCAAATAAAATAATATTAGGAACATCCTAAAAAGTAACAGCGGCCGACTAGATATTTTCCTAAAAAAATTACAGCAGCCCACTAGATTCTTTATCAGAAAATGTTTTTTGTCCTGACATGTAATGCTTTACATTTTATTTTTTAATTTCAAATCGGTGAGAGTTTTATCAAAAAATACAAGAGATAAAAAAGTTTCTAAACAAACTAAACTATCCAAATTAATTTTTTGCATGTGTTTGATAAGATTTTTCTTTAAATTTCGTTAACAAGAATGATAGGGGTAGTTTATTTCAACCCCTTCCACTCATTTTAAAAAAGTGAAAAAATTACCAGAAAGTGTGTTTTCATAACAGTAATGCTTCCATAAAATTTCATTAGTCTATCTCTTTTCGTTTTCAAGATAAAAAAGAAAAACATTATTTTTCCGCCATCTTTGTACCGCAATATCTCCCTAATGGTTGACTTTTGACCCAACGTTTATGAAGCAAACTACCCTTTATTTTGAACAAGGAATCACCTCCTGAAGTTTTTCGCATTTGTTTTGAAACACCCTGTATAAGTGATGTTGCAGTGGCATTGACTTAAAAAGCTTGGAAAGCGTTGCTATTGGATACACCGCTTTTGCAAAAAGAGACAAAGGAACAGTAGATTTAGTGTTTTTAAGGAATTTAATCTTTATCTTGAAAGATTTCAAGCATTTTATAGAATGGAAAAAGAGACCTTTGGTGTGCTAGTTAGAAAAGCCACAATCAGTGATACAAAACGTATACTGAAGTCCAAATCGCCCTTCATTTTTGCCAAATTCGAGTAACGTGTTAATAGTACGTGGCGAAAAGTAGAACCAGTTATATTTTTGAAGCAGTGGCATGGTTGCTACAACGTTGTTTTTACCTTAACTTTAAAACATCCTGTGCAATGATTTCGTAAGCAAATTTTTCTAAAACGTTATTTTTCGGTGTGAACCAGGTCTCCTGAACATTTTGTTGTTTGGCTCATATAATAGCAAACATTAATAACAATAGAAAAAATTCCAAATTTCTGTGGTAAAGTTCGTCTCGTTCTTAAAAATTAACCAAGGGATGTGTTTACATGAGCCAAAAAACAAAATGCTCTGGAGACATGGTTCTAATCGAAAAATAATGATTTATTTGAAATTATTGCACAGGGTGTTTTAAATTTAATGTAAAAAACAAGTCTTCGGTTGATGCTGTATAATAAGCCAAATACTATAATTTATAAAAAAACTAGTTTACGAATTAAAGTTGATATATTTTTATAAAATATGCTAAAAAATTCATAAAAATAGAGCTAAAAATATAAAAAATATAACACTTTAAATTTGACAACAAAATTTCTGTTTTTTTTTGTATCTTAGTATACAATGATTTAGATTTTGCAAGTTGATAAATTTTTATACCAAAATATTAGATTACTGACTTACCTAGGTTAGACTTCATTCCTTGAACTGGACTATCTACTTCTTCAGCCGGCTTTATGAGGTACAAAGTTAGTTTATCCGTTGCTGGCCGTTCAGCTAACGAATTTATCAACCCCTTCCTATCATTGTCTTCTTTGATGGACTGTAAATTCAAGTTCTTGTCTATTCTAGGCGAACTGTGCCGACCCCTGACTTTCTCCTCTTGAGTTTCTTCGGTACTGTTTGCTACGTTTAGAGTTGACTTGCGCCAAGCAGATTTGTCTTTTACTTGAGGTTGTGCTTCTAAACAAAAGATATATTTATGATGAAAATTCAGGTTATTGCTATTTGAATATGTTGTGTATCACCACTAATTATTTCAATTTAGTATTAGTCTGGTGCTTTAAACCTTTATTGTTTGTATCCCAAACTTCGGAATTCATTTACTCTGAACGAATTTTTATAAAACTTTTTGCATTGTATTGTTTATAAGATATATTACAAAGTTTACCCATTTAAGTTCGTTGCTTTCACTTTAGTATTTAAATAAACACACATATACAAATGCATACATACAAGATGGCTCCGTATTCCGGAAAAGCTCTGTATCAGGATTCCTACTTGAGATTTTCACTCCAAACCTTTTACAAAATATGTGTTTAATGGTAGTTCGCATTTCAAAACTATTTTTATAGATATACAGGATGAGTCAAATACACTCATCGGCAAAAGTCTTGCACCCCCCAGACAAATTTATTTCTTTGCATAGCATATTGTTGTGGCTGTGTGTACAAATACCTTAATATGTGTCTACAAAAAATAGGTCATAAAAGCAATGAAAGAAAACCTTATCGATGGAATGTGCATGGTTTTCTCAGTTCGAGTTCAATCTTGTAGTAAGTGTTGTGAAAGGCGACAAAAATGCCAGGGCACGAAATTTCTGCCTTCGATAGGGCCCGAATTATCGCTTTGCATGAAGAAGGTCTCAGCAGGCATCAAATTGCTGATAGTTTAAATATAGTGCGAAGTACTGTCAGCCGAATTATACAACGGTATATGGACACCGGAAATGTAAGATCTCGTCCTAGGTTGGGCCGTCCAAGGATAACGACTGAACGACAGAATCGCTACTTGGCTCAATTTGCCAGAAGAAATCGGTCAGTTCCAATTCTAGAGCTACGATCTCAGTTTCAACGAACTTACCACCGAGTGATATCAAGCCGAACCATTTCCAGGCGACTTTCTAATGCTAGATTGCGGCGTAGACGTCCAATGCGAGTCCCTCTATTAACTTTACATCATAGACAAAGGAGGCTACAGTGGGCTAGAGAACACCAGAACTGGTTATTACCTCAGTGGAGAAAGGTAATTTTCACTGACGAAACCAGGATAGGTTTGATCAGTGATGACTATCGTCAGCGAGTGTGGAGGGAGGCAGGGAGGCAGCATCGCTTGAATACAGCCCTTGCTGTTGCTCCTTATCAAGGAGGAACTGAGATGTTCTGGGGTGGCATCATGTACAATAAGCGAACAGAGCTCATTCATATTCCTGAGGTGATGAACGCCCATTTGTATGTGGAAACTGTAATCAGACCAATAATTTATCCACTGCGAGAAGAAATCGGCAATAATTTTATTCTCATGGATGATAACGCTCGTCCTCACAGAGCTAGGATAGTCCAGGAAGCATTAAATGAAGGGGAAATAACTCATCTGGACTGGCCTCCACTCTCCCCCGACATGAATCCTATTGAACATGTCTGGGACTACATCGCCAGAGCTGTATTTCGCAGAAATAACCCACCAACAAATCGCCAGGAGTTGATCATTGCCGCTCAAAAGGAATGGCAGAACTTACCTCAAGAAACCATAAATAACCTTATAGTAGGGATGCCCCGACGACTTGATGCACTCATAACAAATCGAGGAGGCAATACTTTATATTAGTAACCTTAACTTTGTCAGAATTTATTATTTATTTTCTCTTTTTTGTCAAATATTTTTTTCATGAAATTTGCATTTTTTATATTTTGGCAAAAGATATTATTAAACTTGGTGAAAGTTTTCCCTTTTTTGTGTTATTTTTTAACATAACTTTAGCATCTATTAATTTGCACGAAAAATTAGTTTGGAATGTAATTTTTTATTAAAATAGTAAGGGGGTGCAAGACTTTTGCCGATGAGTTTAGTTTTATTAAATAGTTAGTTTCTAGCTTTTTTGTTGTATAGGCTTAGTATATTTCTTATTTATTTTATTTTTGTCCAGCTTTACAACAGTCACAACAGTTTAATCTGTCACTTATAAATAATTTCTTACCTTCTACAGTTTCTATGGCACCTACAATATCCATATTATCTAACGTTGACGATGGCTTCCAGGATGGATTAGTTTTCCTATAATTAGATTGACTGCCACTATAAACTTGCCTTCCTTCAGGTAAAGTGTCCAAAGCTCCACTCCTTTCACTCTCTAAAACTGATATATATAGAGGTAGAAAACTCTCCAACGATACCTACTGAAAGAAGAGTTTAATTGAGCGAATTATTTTTCCATAGTTTTGATTTCATATCTATACTAAAATAATAAAAAAATCCTTAAGTGACTCACTGATTAATCACGATCCTACTCAATCCACTCAACGTAAGAAGCTCAATTTTCGATAAGAAGGGATTTTTCGAAATATCAGTTCCAAGGGGGTGAAACCGCCCCTCAAACATTACAATATTTTTTATTTAAAAAACGGTCAAGTTTCCGAAAACACGCTTAAACACATATATTTTATTTTGTTTTTTTACATATTTCAAGATTTTTTAAAAAGGTATACGGGGTGTTTAGAAAAATCTGGACATTGTTTAATCACGATCCTGCTTGAAGCGCTTCACGTAAAAAGCTGATTTTTAGAAAACGGATTGACTTTAGGGTGTAGAGGTTCGATAAGAAGGGATGTTACGAAACTCAAATTCTAAGGGGGTGAAACCACCCCTCAAATATTAGAATATTTTTTATTTAAAAACCGGTGAGTTTTTTCGGAAAAACTCTTAAACACGAATATTTTATTTTGTTGTTTTACATATTTTAAGATTTTTTAAAAAATTATACATGGTGTTTCATAAAATATGACCATTGATTAATCGCGATTCTGCTTAAACTGCTTGACTGTTTTAAAGCTGATTTTTGACAAACGAATTTTTCGAAAGTCAAATTCCAACGAATTTGAATTTGAATGAAACTACCCCTCAAATATTACCAAGTTATATAACAATATCGCCATATTGTTTTTTCTCATGCTGACATAAATGTGAGAAAATGTTATCCATCCGTTTGTATATTAATGTATGAAATTCTTGCTTTGCTTTATCATCAACATTACAAATGATTAATTCGACGAGCACGAAGTCGCGGGTACACGCTAGTTAATTATAAATATATAAACAGTTAATACATACATCAACAAAACTCACCTTCTTAATAGCACTTAAGGGACATAAAGGGCCATTACTACCGTTTTCCCGTTCAAAATATTCTAATAAAGTTGCGATGAGTTTTTTACAGCTATTAAGTAGGTAGTAGGTTTACTTACATTTCGAACATACGTATAAACATCTTTAAGATCATCCTCCAGCAATCGGTACGGATCGACTTGGTACTCTGGCATTGGTCCCGGTTGTTGCGTGTTCATGGTTGCATAGTTCCTCATTTGAGTGCCGCGGTGACATGACAGCGCTGTCAAATTGTGTTCCGGACGAATACACGGGTGCAAACTAATGGAATTCGGTCTGTGTAGGTCTGTGCTTTGGGTGGGTTCGTTAGAAGACTGTCGTTGGCCGTTCTGAAACAAGAAAAATGTATCGTAAATAAAATGTATATAATTAAAAATGCGTTTATTTATAAAACATACAGGGAGAAACAAGCCCTATAATATAGGATACAACATTTTAATGAACAGTGCTTTCCATAAAATCAATAAAATGAAAAATATACGAAATAATATACATGTACTGATTTCTTTCGGAAATCGACAACTATGAAATAATGAACCCTTCCCGGACACAAATAGTATATTGTGAGACAGGAAATTGTAGAGAGAAACAAGCCCTATAACATAGGATACAACATTTTAATGAACAGTGCTTTCAATAAAATGAATAAAATGAAAAATATACGAAATAATATACATGTACTGCTAAAACTCAAATGGGTAATATTTCAATATATAGACATTGTAGTTCATTCACATTATGATTGTAGATCTTATGTTTACCTTTTCAACTGTCAAAAAATTTCCACTAAAGTTTCGTGGCGCCTCGAAAAAATTTCCGGAAATTTTTTCAGTTGCCATGGTAACTAGTCAACATTAAAGCATGTTATTGGTTGAAAAGTAGAGGTGTGAAATTTTCAAGGAAAAAAAAACAGAAGTATACATATTTTGCAGTATACATACAGTATAAGGGAATTTAGAGCATATCATTTTGTTTTTATTTAATATCTGCTAGTGATATTTTGGCCGGCAGTAGCGCAAGCAGTAGTGTGTCGATCTGCGGTGCGAGAGATTAGATTGTGCTGGGTTCGATCCTCAGCCAGTACGGTCGCTTTATCTATTTAAATAAAAATATTCATTTATCAAAGTAGAGCGACCAGCGAGCCGCCACCTCAAGGAAGGCAATAGCAAACCACCTTGAGTATATTTGCCTTGTACAGCTTCTCAAATAGTGCCGTTCGGATTCGGCGATAAATTGTGGGCCCCGTGTACTTGTGAAACACTGATAACACACATCACAAGTATACGCGAGAGGTAGCCTACGCTCTGTATAGAGTATGGCACTGTGAGAAGAAGTGATATTTTAACTGAACCAAAATTCTAGTCAATAGAACTTCTTACATCGGCATTCATCATCCAAACCAATCGTCCATATTAAAAAAAAAATTATTGTCTATTAATATTATATATTAACATTTATTATTATTACCTGGTGATCTATCATCTTTGCTTTCGCTGTTACCACCGTTGAACGAATCAAGTCTTTTTCTGGACATCGATGGTGAACCGGTGACGGACATTTCATCCTCTGAAGTACCAAGCGAATTGAAGAATTTTCGTCCCTTATTACATGAAAATAATGTAATTATTAAATTGTGTATTCCATTTATATTATGTTCTATTTTCATGATAAAATGGCATTTATGAGAATAAGGATGAAATGTTTATTAAATAAGGTTATTCTTATAGCAAAATATTTAATAATTCATAGAGCTCCTGAGAACCAGTGAAAATAAATTGGAAATTCGAATGATGATGTTTTATTGCCAGTTGTAGCATACATCCTTTTTCGTAGTTTTGTGGATTTTATTAATATTACTATAAACATAAATTTTGTTGTACTTTATAAACTAAATTGTATTTTTATATCAATTTATATAGAAATTGAAATTGTTATATTTAGATTGCTTGTATTTCTATAAAACATTTTGAAACATTTTTGACGACAGGATTGTATACATAAAAGAAGATTACTGATAAGAAAAGTCAAGTGCCATACTACAAATATATGGCACAATGAAATACTGCAGCAAATAAGAGAAGATATACCGGCAAGAAAAGACTGAGAAATGAGATAAAAATTCAGAAAAAAAGGAAAGAAATCTGCGATAGAGCAGATCAGGATATATTCGGAGATAGTTATAAAATAGCTATTAAAAGTGGTATACCCCTAGACCAAATCTACCAATAAATGTAGTAAAAACTATATAGTTAGTTATCTATTTCCAAATCACGAACCAGTACACTTTAATGTCGATAATAATATAATGACGATATCTTTGACCTTGTACTCTAGAAGAACTTCAAATGGCTGCCAACAAGATGAAATATAAGAAAGCTCCCGGCCAGGAAATATTCCAACAGAAATAATAAAAGAAGTTAAAATCAAACAATTTTTTTTAGCCGCCTAATATTATTTAACATCAAACAAGGATTACAGTTGAGGGTTGGAACCTTTGGTGTTACACAGCAAAATAAAACACTAAATCACCACAATACATCACAACACTTTTACTTTTACACTGAACGCGCGTTTCGCTAACCATGTTAGCATCATCAGCAGATGATTATAAACTGATTCATAGAGCTCCTGATTCGTAGATCCTTCAGTTTATAATCATCTGCTGATGATGCTAACATGGTTAGCGAAACGCGCGTCCAGTGTAAAAATAAAAGTGTTTTGGTGTATTGTGGTGATTTAGTGTTTTATTTTGCTACAAACAAGGAATTCCCGAAAGAATGGAAGCGTGCTAAGCTAGTTCTATTAAGAAAAAATGAAAAAACGATAGTAGATCCATCGTCATACAGACCGATCTGCTTACTGGATGTCGAAGGTAAATTTTTAGAACACATGATGTTAAACCGGCTTAAGAAAGAATTAGCTCGCACCGGGGATCTCCCATAAAGACAATTTGGCTTTAGTTTTGGGCGAGAGGAATAAAAGGAAGATGGACATACAATTAGATAGTATACAATGGGTATCCAGTAGCGATGGGAACTATCGAATGAATTAAACTATCGAATGGTTACGGAATGAATGATTTCAACTATCGAATGGTTTTATTCGAATAAAATCATTCATTCATGTGTATACTAAAGCATATGTTGCTGCAATATACCCGTGATTGAATATTAATAAATAAATTACGTGAAAAATGTCAACCTGTAATTATAACCAAACGCATTAATAGATTCACAGAGTCGATAATTTTAATTAGCTATAAATAACAATAATTAGAGAATAATATACTAGATACATAATAAGTAGATAAACCAGAAATACAACAGAAAAATCAATGCGGAACTGCAACATTTTTTATATTTCATGGTCTCAAGTTAATTATAAATTATTTTTCATAACATGTCACAAAGTGGAAAATACTTATAATAAGGAATTACAGTATTTTTAGCTACCAATCTACTAAGAGTACGAGTGTTGTCTTTTCTTTTTAGCATATAAAGGTAGAAAAAAAAACATTAGATAACTTTCTGAAAGCAGTTAATCCACTTGCTTATTGGTACCTTTAAAATTGCGTTTTTGAAGGCGCTGACTACATATTCTGGGGTAACCTTTGACCACGCAATTCATTCTTAATGTAAAAGTACAAAAGTCGTCGGTTGGGACTGCATGGTCAAAAATTTGATGTTTTCTTGATTTAAAACACAATTGTTTTTTGGGCTGTGTGAGAACTTGCATTATCTACATTGGATCATTCCTCGCTGAAGGTTGGATATTCGACACTCAGCAATTACTTCCGACAAACAAATAGATATGTATCAGCAGTAACAATTCGCCACCATCTTTTTGGATACTTGGACTTTGAGAACTGATAACTTTCGCCGGTTTTGGTTCATCTCGAAACACCCATACAGCCGATTGAAGTTTATTTTCGGGTTAATAAGAGTAAATCCACGATTCATCACCACTAAC